GGTTTGGTCCCTAGATGATGTGATGGTGTCAATGGGGCCTGATGGAAGGGAGTTAATTCACTATAGGCATCCTCTTGACATGACCGTTGGGTCTCAGTCCTCTGTTTCTTCTCTTTGCTTCCTGGCTAGCACAAGGTAAGCAGCTTGCCCCTGCCATGTGCTTTTACCACAATGTGTTTTCTTACCATGGGTCCAAAGGAGTAGTGTAAAATAGCCATGGGCTGAAACCCTGAGGCAAAACAAAATCTTCCTTCTTGTAAGACAATCTCAGGTATTTTCTCCAAGCGACAGAAAACTGACTGAAAATGTTTACCAGTAAAACAGCAATCATAACCTTAATACCCCAGTTTGGCTAAAGTTGAATGGCTATTCTGAATGTGGAAGTTCTTAGGAAATGGTAAAGTTATTGAATTATAAGAGTATTCGTATGATTTCAGGAATGTGTGTTTTATGAGAGAACAAAGCCTTGAGCCAAGGGATGATGATTTAACTAGCAAGGGCGTCTTCCTGGGCACAAAAAGTCCCTACTGTTTTTTCCAGAAACATACCTAACATCCCACAGCTGTCCTCTGGCTGTCTCCCATGAGGCCAGAAATCAGAATGAGCTGGTAAAAGACCCTTGTGAGGAACCTCAAGGCTGGGTCCTGAAGTTTCAGAGGGTTTTTTAAGGGCAGGAAGTTCTGTCTTCAGAGACTGTGGCTGAGCCTGTGGTAGCCAGGAAGCTGTCCCCTAAAAGAGGGTCTTCACTGGAGAGATGGCTCAGTGGTTAAGAGTACTGATACTCTTCCAGAGGACCCTGGTTCAATTCCCAGCACCCACAAGGCAGCTCACAACTGTCTGTAACTCCATGATCTGACACCCTAACATAGACATTCGTGCAGGCAAAACACCAATGCAAATAAAATAAAAATAAATTATTTTAAAAGGGGGGCTTCCTGTGATTGACAGAACACTCAGGCCATGTCACCACAGTGGTGCAAGCTGGTCTCCACAGACCAGTGGACAGACAAATGGAATACAAACCTAAGGACTGTGCTACACCTAAAAGGCACAACCTTCTGTTTTGCTGAACACCCAAGTGGCCCTCTTGGAAGTATAGAGACTACATAGCCCTAAAAGAGGCACAGTGGGGCTTTATATCCAGCTTTGTCAGAATCAGCTCACATCTGCATGTGTGTGCACACACATTCCAAAAAATGGGCACATTCAAATGAGTGCACATACATGCTCACCAAGAGTAGACCCGGGAATAGCCTGCCTTTGGGCATGTCTCACCATTTTCCTTTCATCTTTTGTTTTGTTTGAGGAAAGGTCTGGCTATGTAGTCTTGGCTCACTCTGCAGACCCATCTAGTCTCAAATTCACAAAGATCCACCTGCCTCTGCCTCCAGAGTGTTGGGATTTAAGGCCCATGCCACCATACCCAGCATCATTTTGTTTTTAAGACAGGATATTACTACATAGACCCAAACTTGCAATCCTCCTGCCTCAGCCTCCCAAGTGATGGAATTACAGGTGTGTCCTGTCATGCCTAGAAAAGCAAATGAACTCTTTTTGCTTTTTAATAGATATATTTTATTTTTAATAGGTGTTTTGCTTGCATGTATGTATGTGTACCATATTATCCCTATTTTCTGCAGATCTCAGAAGAGGGCATCGGACTGCCTGGAACTGAGAATGGTTGTGAACCACCATATGGGTTCTGGAAGTCAAAACTGGGTCCTTTGTAAGAGAGCAACAGTTGCTCCTAAACCCTGAACCATCTTCTCAGCCCCAACCTATTTTTAATAGCCCTGTTGCATGAAATAACAGATATTTAAAAATTTTTTAAATCAAATTAACAGTGTTAAAATATAATGCAAATACTGTTAAAGTTTTTTTTTTCTGAGTTCCACACAGTCTATTGAATTAATTAAATTGGCTTGTGACTTAGGCATTTTTAAAAATTAGGTTCACTTTTGGAGCTCCCAGGCAATTTTTTTCAGGGCTTAGCTAGTGGTTCTTTGCTATGAGACTGGCTTTTGCCATAGGTGGGTTTGTTTGTCTCTCTTGACAAGGATGGCTTGTTCTTTTCTAATTGAGGGTGGGTGCTAGGAGAGCTCTAGGCCCAAGGCTTGCAGCATTGAGAATACAAATGTATTTGTGTTGCAGTCCAGAATACATAAACACATGTATCTAGCTACTGCAGTTTGGATCTAGAATGTCTCCCAAAGACCCCTGTGTTAGGCTTCTAGCTCAACACTGTAAGGATTCAGGCATTCAGGCCTGCCTGCTCCTGTCACCTGGCAGAATGCACTCAGGCAGTACTCTGGTCAGCTCAGGGATAAAGGACCCCTTTAAAAGAAAGACCTCTGGTCTCTTTCTGTTCTTTCTCCCTTCTCTCTCTCTCTCTCTCTCTCTCTCTCTCTCTCTCTCTCTCTCTCACACACACACACACACACACACACACACACACACACACACACGGA